TTATTATTATTATTATTATTTTAATATGTTTTCAGATTTATTCCTGTAATGCAAAGTTGAATTTTCAGCATCATTACTCCAGTCTTCAGTTTCACATGATCCTTCAGAATCTAATGATCTAATGATTGGTGATTTTGTGCTCACATATTTTTTAATTATCATTGGTGCTCAATTAAACATAATGGTTCTTGTTATTGTCAAAGAAAAAAAAAATGAAATAGAAATATTTTGTAACATTGTAAATTATTTTACTGTCACTTTTGGTCAGTTTAATATATTTTAATATTTTTTATAATTTATTTTAATAATATTAATATTAATGATTTCCAGAAAAAAAAAATTAAGCAGCAAAATCTTGATTTCAGATGCTTAAGAGTTATATCTGAATAATCATGTGACACTGAAGACTAATGGCTGAAGTAATGGCTGCTGAAAATTCAGCTTTGCATTACAGGAATAAATTACATTTTAAAAATACAGTTATTTAAAACTGTAATAATGCTTCACGATCTTACTGTTTTTACTGTATTTTTGATCAAATAAATGCAGCCTTGGTGAGCATAAGGATATATTTTAAAAACATAAAAAATTGTTGATTATTTAAGATCCAAAACTTTTGACCTGTACGTTTATAAAAATGTAAATAAATGTAAATAAATGAATAAATAAATAAATAAATACATTTCACTAGAATATAGAGTATATCATATACATCCAAATATGTCAGCTGCCCAAATACTGTATATTTTTGTGCTTCCTGATCACAAAGTTTGGAGGCTTTCTTATCATAATTGAATTAGTGTAACACAAAAACGCTTTCTGTCATTTGCAGGCAACCGACCGTGAAAGAGATCTCATTACATATACCATCCTGAGAGGAGATCCAAACAACATCTTTGAAGTCTCCCAAACGTAAGCTCACTTTGAAAGGCCGGAAAAAGTCTGCGCTGCCAAAATCCATTGTTTTTGGGGTTTGAATAAGCAGAGAAGATATTTTAATTGTGATTCAGACACAGACACACTCACACAATGCTTTGCACTCACTGAAAAATACAGAGAAACAAAAGCTTTTTCTCTGTGAAATATCTGTGTTTGAGTCAGCCACGTCCTGACATGCACTGGATGCAGATTACATTATGAGACAAACATGATACATAATTAATAAGTACTGATGAAAATATTAATTCCTCCATTTCAAATAGCAACTTAAGACATTTCAGCTTTTGCTTGCAGTGAAGGGTCAAAAGTCCCAAAATGTTTTCATAGCAAAACCTCAGATGCATTTTATTTGATTTAGCACTCCGTAAAACGAGTAAACAACATTAGGTGGCCAATATCTCACACTCTCTTTCTTAAGTAATGCATTTAGTAAAGCATGTTATACTCCGCAGTGTGCAGTGTACCAAAGGGCATTTCAATCATAGCCCGGAGCAAAGCTTCTGATCCTGTTCTCAAGTTATTTAAGCAAGATATCACAACCAGGATACACTTCTAATGAACTGCTACTGTTCTTTCAATAAGCAGCAAATGAAGAACAACACAAATATAGCTATTTTTGTTGAACTACCTGAGCTTATCTCTCACAGTTACAGTCTCTTCCTTTTCTCTCCTCCTTCCCACAATGCCTTCTGCTCCCCACGGAGTTTACGATAGAGCTGTCTGTTCGAGTGGATTGTGTAACTGTAGAGTCTGGAAAAGTCTGGCTGGAGGGTGAATATGGTGATATAAAGTATATGTTTAAAAAGCACTTTCATGGGGGTTGGAAGTGTGGGGTTATCCTTTCATAAAGTAAGCGAAATGGAATTTTAAAGTGGAATTATTCAGAAAAGTTCAAAATGACTGTTCAAAATGATTTTCAAGCAGAGGAGATGTAAGAGTTTTAAATGGATTTTAGATATGCTTAACTTAGCTTAGGCTAAAGTGCCAACTCACCTGCTTTGTTTTGGAAATGGATATGTCTAATAACTTTTATATAAAGCATGATAGTACCTTTGTGTTCTTTAGTTTAAGACACTTAATTCCAGGTTGATTCAGTGATATATTCATACAAAAAAAATAAATAAATAAATAATAAAATAAAATAAATTAAATTAAATTAAATAAATAAATAAATATATAAATTAATTAATTAATAAATATGCTTTGCTGATGCTGACTATTTATTTATTTACCATTTTCTCACCATTTGAATTAATCAACGTGTTTACTGCTGTGCTTTTGGAAAACAGAACTACACTACGTTGTGATATATTCATAAAACAATCTGCACTGAAACAGTACTCTCATTAAACTGTTCATGAGATGAATAAGATGACTGAAATTTTATTGTTAAAACTTCATCCACTCACTTCTTACACTGGGATTCCTCAGAAGGATCTGCAGAGTTTAGGTGCTACACAAAGCACAATATGCTAAGCATTTTTCTAAATTTTACTGATAATTTGTCTAGTTCAATATGTTGTATTTATTTTACTTCAGCATGACTTGAGGGCAAATTCCTGAACAACAATTTGTCATTATTGATGTGCGACTGTGGGGAATCATACATTTATTTGCATTTATTCAAATCTATTGATGTACGATAGTTACAAAATTAACTTCTGTCTCTGAACTCTTTTATTAAAATAATAATAATAATAATAATAATTGATTAATGTCATGACCCCTTTAAAATTGGGTCTTGTGACAATAAATAAATACCCTCCTGTTCCCTTTCAGTTATTCAGAATCACCAGATATAAATGGCTTTTTCATAACCAGCCTGGTTTGGTTTATTTTTGCAGCTGCTGCTTATAATACCAATAATAAACTTGTGTATTCTCTGGTTATCATTACAATTGTTGCTGTTCAGTAGTGGGGTAATTTAGGGTGCGAGTATGCTCTTAGACATGTACAGACGATGCTTTGCAGGGAATGCATGATGAATATACATGAGGTCCTCTGGAGCCTTGAAGATGCCGCTCTGAATTATTTTATTTTATTTGGAGAACGCATGACTGTCTGCATCAGTGTCCACCCGTCTCACAGATCCTCTGGAGGTTTTGGGGGACATATTGTGTCAGGACAGAATGATTGGCTGTTGCGAAACATGAAAGGGTCAATTCATTAAATAGTTGCGGCCCTTTTGCATATGGTATTTCAGCACTCCATCTCATTCATTAAACACTCACTATCCATTTAAGAAGGCATTAAATGTGCTGAAATATTGATATGCTGTATTGAAACCAAATTATTTTTCATCTTTTCTGCACAAATTAGACCTTCAATAGAAGTACTTTGTTGCCACAAATCTCAATTAACATCAAACTACTGACCACAGAAAGCAAATGGATTTTTATTTAAAAAAATATATTTGTGTTCCTTTTCTATCGATCAGGACAGCAGTTATTCATCAAATGATGGAACATAATGAAATGCTTGAATCATGAATAACAACAAAGTGGATGGCATAAAAGCATGCTGAAGTCAGTGCTATTTAATTACTCTTGTTTTTTAATAATTTGTTAGTTCTGAAAATCTAAATTTAAAGTATAAAAGTAATCAAACTGCATGCCAATAGCATCTCAGTCATTTACAATAAATCTCAATGAAATCTAATTTATAATTATCTTATACACTATTCATCTTATCCACAATTCTTTAAAATGTATAAAAAAGATGAGTTTGTTTCTTCATAGGAACAGATTCTGAGAAATTTAGCATTACATCAATTGCTCACCAATGGATCGTCTGCAGTGAATGGGTGCCTTCAGAATGAGAGTCCAAAGAGCTGATGAAAACAACACAGTAGTCTACAAGTAATCCACATGACTCTCCAAATCTGTTTCAATAAAGAAACAAACTCATCTTCATCTTAAATGGCCGAAGGGTCGGTATATTTTCAGCAAATTTAATTTTAATTTAATTTTGGGTGAACATTAATTGGTTACACTTTATTTTAGTGTCCTTGATACAGTGTAACTATACATTTAAGTGCTGAGTAATATTAATTAACTACATGTACTTACTATATTGTTAGGTTTAGGGTTAGGGTTTGGCTTACTTTCATGTACTTATGCATAATTATTATAATAGTTATTATAACAGTAAGTACATGTAACGTGTAACAAAGACACATCTCACATCCAAAACTCTCCAAAATTACTAATTTTAGGCAATATTTCAAGTTGAATGGATTTTTTTTTTCAGTAGTCAGTAGTCAGTACCAATATCATATCATACCAATATATCTGTATACAAAGATGGGTAGATTACTTACAAATTGTAGTTCGTTACTGATTCTAAATTACATGACAAAAATTGTAATTAGTAACAATCCATTACACATTTTAGGTAATATAATCAGACTACTTTTACTCTACTTTTGACCTAACTCGTTTAACATTGATTTAAGTAGGATAATCTTGTACCATATTAAATATAAAATACAAAGAGGAAGAAAATACATTCCATTCGTTGTTATTAACAACATGAAGTGCATTAAATATTACATTACCAGGGTTTCCCAAACTGGGGTTCATGAAGGAACTGCAAGGGGTTCGAAAAGCTAATAATTAATTAATTGTAAAATTTAAATAAGGGATTTTAAAATAACATCAATCAAAATAAAACACTGATTAAAAAATGAAATATTGTATTTGTTTACAGCTAGTTTAGTGCAATTGTGTGAATAATATGTAATCATGTAATCGATAAAAAAGTAACTGTAGTCTGATTCTGACTATTTTAAAATGTAATTTAATCTAATTACAAGCACTTATTTTTTGTAATATGATTACATAATCCAGATTACATGTAATCAGTTACTACCTAGCTCTATCTGTATATGTTTTATCTCACAAAAGTATGAATGTCAAGCAATGACAAATATGAATGTTAGGACAGTGACACCAAAATACAATTTCCACATTAGCTTGAATTTACAATAAAAAAATAAAACGGATATAATAGATAAATGCATGTTAATAGATAATAGATACAATAGTTTGTATTGTTTTTGTATGTAGCATATTTGTACACCAAAAGTTGTGTACCACAAGTTCCCTTTCAGTCGGTCACTCTCGACGTCACGTCGGATGACCGACGAAATTGGGATCTCGCTTAGAGGGACCAATCTACTTCGAGTGTAAACTAAACGAGCCAATGCACATTGGCATGCGATTATTGCATCCAGCTGCTGCTGATCACAGCGTGAGTATAAGTAGGCAGCAGATGCAGCGCATATTCAGCTTTTCGCTGAGGAGCCGAGCGATCACATCGTTCTGCTCCTGACTACTCTACTGAGAAAAGA